GAGGAAGAGGATGAGGAGAGGGAGGAGGAGAGGAGGAGGAGGAAGAAGGCGGAGGAGAAGGAGGAAGAGGGGGAGAAGAACAGCTGCCGATCATCGGCGCTCTTCGTTCGAGTGCCTGGTGTAGGATGTTTTTTTTTTTTTTTTTTTTTGTTACAACCGCGGGGGGAAGCGCCAGCGGCGGCGAGTAACGGTCGGGCTGCGGCCGAAACTAATTGGCCAGACGCGCGCGTGGGCCGCGGCCGGCGCCGGGCGGCGGGTGCAAGGGTGCTGCAGCCCAGGGAGTCTGACGGCGGGACCAACACCCAGGGAGCAGTAATTACGCTGCCAAAGTGGCGCGATGCAATACCCCCAACGTGTCAGAGGTCATAGTGAGCAGTGCGCCCTGAGACACCATCTGAACAGTAGGGAGTCTCCAACCTCGGCGCGGGAATGGCGTACAAGGGGTCCCAGGATGCCTGCCATGCACTAGCATCGACAGAGAGACACGCAAGCTGTCGCCAGACGGCATCCCGTAAGGAGAGGTTGGACTCTGACAGCGCCAGCGAACCGTCGCAGCTTCAGAGTACGCACCCACGCAGCCCAAAGGCGCGAAGTTCGTGGTGTCAGAAACCGAGCGAAGCACGTCAGGCCCAGGAGACAACCGCGAATGGATGCGAACGCAAGCGGCCATCAAGTGACATGATGTGATGCTATGCGGAAGGTACAACTGTCCCAACCCTCTTCCAGGCACAAGTCGCAAGCGGCGCCAGCCGATAAGAACAGGGACGCGTACCAGGGAGCAACTGCTGGTGGGGATACGCGAAGCGCCAAGAATTCCATCGGCGCCTACAACTGCAACAAATCGGGAGCGGCCAAGAGGGGGGTGTCCAAGAGGGGGGGTGCAAATCATGACCGGCGCCATGTGCGCGGCCCAGCGGGGGGGGCCAGGGACGCAATGAAATAAGAAGAGGCGCAGTGAATCTGAGGGAAAATCATGGACCTACCCAGAAATCCACCCCCCCACAAAGAACAAAAAAAATAACACGAAAAACTAGCCATCGCCCCCCTCTTTTCCGCTCCCGAACTTCATCCTGGATGACCCAGTCGAATTGGCAGCTGCCGGGCCAGTGGTCTCATACCTCGCATGCCCCACGGAGCGGGAGACGTCCTCTTGGCCAGAAGCATGGCCACTGCTCCTGCTCCGCAGCGGCCCGCCCTGCCAGTTCGAAAATGCGCGCCTGGCCCCGACTAAAGACGCCCACGCCCCCATATCTGGTGGGAGAGGGCCTAGGCACGCGGCACTTCGAGCGCTTTTGCACACCTGGTTCCTCGTCGGAGAAACGGCGGGCCCCAGGCGACAGAGCCGGCGCGGCAACCAACTCCAGGAACATCGCATGGCTTGCCGATTTTTCCCCTGCGCGAAATTCGGCGCAATCCCCCGAACATTGCGAGGCCGGTTCCTTCCTCAAATACTTTCCCGCAGCGACGTTAGGACGCCAGGTCCTGTCAGACGCGAGGCTCGAACATTGCCCCCAGCTCCGACATGACAAACTGCTGCCAATCACCTGGTGACCCTTGGAAAGACTTGAGGTAGAAGGGAACCTTAAGGAACCTCGCCTGGGAGGAGGTAGAACAGATCCCCCGAGTAGTCAGTCCAAGCCCGCTTCAGCCTGGGTTCCCATGTGGCACGGATGAGGGCGGTGATGACAGCCCCCATAAGGCCTCTGACCTCGCTCCAGGTGCTGATGGCGCCATTGAGGGAGAGGCAAGCGCGCTTCCAACCAGCTCCTTCTTTTCCCCTGAGATTCGGGAAGATGCTGACCCTGGCCTTGGGGAGGTCCATCCTGCCGAAGTACTATCGAATCCCCTTCTTGCCCGGCCCCATCCTCGACGCGACTGCAGCACGTCACCCCGCGTGCATTTGCCGCCATCGTCGATCTCAACTTCTGTAGAACTGATGGTGGGCCCCCCTATCCAGCAAGCCCCCATGGCGCCTGAGGTTCGACCTCAGTGAGACTGAGTTTGGTCGTTTTTTTGTCGACCCTGATGAGTCCCCGCGCGCGCCTGCCACGAACCTCCGCCTTCTTCATTCTGGTCGACACGCGTTGAACTTGCTGCGTGGGCCTCCTCCGACACGAAAAATCTAGCCCCAATTTTCGCGCGTTGGCGACAGCCTGCGCACGGGTGCTCGTTGAAGCTAGCCCTTGGCGGACGAGGCGTAACATGTGGCCCTGGCTGGCGAGCAACCGAGACCTGGCCGCGAGCTTCAATCCTCGCGACCGCGCGGCAGATACCAGGGCACCGGCTCATCCGACGGCGAGTCGATGTACTACCTGCTTCGGCCCTTGAGCCTGCCAACAATCATCGCTGACCCATGTTCCAAATCCCGCTGGACAGGAATAATACGTGTGTCCACTGCGCGAAATCATATTACGCGCGTGCTCCATCATGCCGCACGCGCGTGCTATCGCCCAGGCCACAAACTGGGCGCACCCATGCAATGTGGAGCGGTCCACAATGA